CTATCTGACCCTTTGACTAAGGGTTTACCTATCAAACCCTTTCAACGTCATGTATCCAATATGGGTGTAATAGATGCTAGTTTTGATTAGTAGGAGTATGATGTTCATCTTGTTTTGTTTTGACATTGACATCATTTAATGTTCATTAATAATGATGGCTCATTTAATATTTTATAATTTGTTTAGAAATATATATGTGCACATTTGATTTCCCACATGGGAGTTTAACTATCCATGTAGATTTGATGGCTTGGGCATTCATAGTGACTGGACATCACCTATTAAGCCCTCACCAGATGAAATGCTTGTTGAAAGTAGCATTTTTAACCACATGGTTTGACATCCAAGCGACGTGTTTGATCAACTAATTGACACATGAAGTTTAGTGACCATATTTGGAGAAGCCTTTGATGGCTTCCCAAACCACCATTCCCACTTTTGTTTTGGCTTGTGGAAGGTATGCTTATAGATGCTTTGACCATGGAAATGAGTCACTACTACATAATAGCGTAGGTCTCTCCTGCTTGGGCATTTGTAAGGATATTGAAAATGGGACTGATTTGATGTTGCACTCTCATAACACATATGTTTTTTATTTATCTTTTTTCTTTCTTTAGGAGAGGCCACTCGATTTTAAAAAAAAAAAATTGTTTCAACCCAATGGATGTTTTGTTTTAAAACTTTTTTTTTTAAATTGTGACAAATAGTGGGAGATTGTTAGTATTTGTCAATTTAAAAAATATATATATATTTATTAGGTTGGCACTTGATACATATGGGTCTATGAAAGTGTTTTGTAAGTTGAAGATAGACTCCTATTTGGAGTGGGATTCTAAGTGTGGTAGGATTGGATTGAGATTTGTTTGATGGGGAATTAATCTCAATCAGTGATAAGAATTGTTAGAGTCCTGGTCACCTTTGGATGGGGGTTATAAAAACCACATAGTGGTTATGGACCCATCACTGTTGGCCTCAAGATCCAAAGAGACTAGTGAACTCAAAGAGCTGATAAAGAAAGAAGCACAGCACAAGCATTCAACAAAATGGCCGGAACACAGAGTGGAATCCAAATGGGTACGRACTTTTGGATCTGATTTCTTATTTTGTTTCACAGTTCGTCGATTGAATGAGTTTTAAAGCTTGCAGAGAGAAGGAGAGAAATAGAGAGAGAGAGGGAGCCCTTTGTTAGTGGTTGTCGTCACCTGCGACGGCTGTGCCAAGTGAAAGATGGAGGGGGATAAGACATAATTAATAGATTCTCGACAGGAAATAGTGACACGAATGAAGCGGGGCTCTCTATTAATCTGTACCCATGACTCACTATAAACCTAGYCGACTTGGTCCAGAACAACACCATCACAGGAGGTGGTGCCTCCTGTTAAAATATGGTTGGGTTGTTTTAGCGGAGACAAATGTTGATCCCACCCATAGCTTCCATGCCCTACGGGTAGCTTTAACTGTTGGCCTGGAACATTGTAAGGTGTGGGGGGAGGTATGAAAATGGAGAAAGAAGGAGAAATCTGACACCACCGTCGTGCGTGCTATCTTTTGAACCACTCTGAAATCCCGGAACACGTCGTCTTCGTTCACCTCTGTGATCATCACAGTTGTTCCACCCAGATTGAATCCTTTATGGTCAAAAATTGAAGATGAACCTCACTTTCTGAAACGCCAAGGAATGCATAATGGTCTAATTTTGTTGTCTGAAAGGATGAGAGATTCATCATATGGATGGTTGAACCCTGTAGGAAGGTTGGGCGAAATTTCAAAATTTCTCTCTCCCATGTGAGAATCACATTCCCTATTTTAGAAAACTGCATTTTCAAGGATTAATCTTGAAACCAAATCGGACCAGATCTGAAACCAAAAGGTTGGAGAGGGATATACCTTATATGAAGTAACAATAACTCCCAACAAAGGTGTTCACGCCCAAGGAGAAAACCAAAGACTACTCCCACTGAAAATGACACAGTGTGAGGTGGAGCAGAATTAGTAGGATGGCTCTTCAGCAAGAACCAAATTCTTCAGCAAGAATGTGATGGAGGATTGGTGAGCACGACTTCATATTACCTTTTCTACCAAAAGGTAATATCAAGAACCTTTCTTGATCACTTCCACAGGTGGAAATCGAACTGATAGGGGTGGCAAGAGCAAGAAAGAGCAAAAGACAGGAGCAATCAAACTGCAGATTCTTCTCTCTTTGTAATCTATGAACTGAGAATTGTGTATTAGAGGTTCACCATACTCCTCTATTTATAGCCGTTAAAGAGAGCATCTCCTAATCCTATTAGAAGTTTCYTAATCCAAATCTTGTATTTGGATCTAGACTCTCCTTAAGAGATAAGGATAATCCCTTATCTTATCTACAGGTAAAGATCTGACTTCCTAATCAAATTAGGAGTTTCTTGATCCAAATCTTTATTTGGATCTGGACTCTCTAAGTGGATAGGGATAATCCCTTATCCTATCTACTGATCTTAATCCCATAACCGCCTCTAATTAATTAATCTTATTAAGCCAGTTCGAATGGGTTTTAGGCCCATTAAATCTATGTACTCACTTAACCTCATAACTGCTGCCCAGTTGGCTATCCTTGTATGGCGTGGGACCCAAACATTAATCTACACATCAGCCACATGGGTTCAGCCCAGCCTCTATTACAAGGCCTGGCCGAATTCATTGTAGGAAACAGTGAACCCCTGGGTCCATCACCATGGGCTCTTAATGGGCCCAACATTTACACTAAATGGTCATTCGGTCAAGCCACCTTATAAAAACCCAAGGACTGTGGGCAGATGCAAAATTAGCCCATTAGGTATTACCCTCAATGGTCTTACACTTAACCTCTCAACCTATAATGATCAAACACTGCCCGACAAGAGAGAACCTCTCTCTCGGCTGCAAGGTACAGTGTTGCACTCTCTACTCACATGGATCCCGGTAATTAAAACATTTTACAAACATTTTGAAACCATAATTTATATATGTATATTTATATATAAATATATTTTGCAAAACAAATTTCAACGGTTGAAATCAACTGTCGACAATTTTGGTTTCCATTAGAGAGAGTACAAAGGGGTTGATCCTGTCACTATGATCACCCACTTAGATGAATTCTCAGACTGTCCCAACATATCCAGGTTTTGGCCCCCTCTAAGGATCTCACTGATTGGCATATCAAAGACAACCCAATCTGACACCTAGTGTAGTATCATAATCGAGTCTAGTGGTTATGTGTAACATTCCAGTTTTGCCCATCTATCTCCAAGGTCTAGGGCAATACTAGAATTCTGGCCCGGTTCAGGGTTTCAAGAAAACCCACACTTCATGTACCTCAGGTCTCACTATGGCAGCTAAGACAATCCACCCCAACCAACTTGGCGGCACATCGGTGTCAACTTTGGTAGGATAAATCTCCCCAGATCTATCCAACGACTGTGAAGATTCTAAACTAACACGTGTCTCATATGTGTCCAGTTTAAGGGTATTACACAGAAACACATTATAATAACATGAATCAAATATGCACTTTATTCATTTACATTAAATGTCATAGTGTACATCATTCTGATTTGAGATAAGGGCATACACTGTCTAATAGTTGTCACGCTTGAAGCTCCCATTATTGGTAAGGCTTAAATTTTGATGAAACTCAAGTCTTACAAAGTACTCTAATGGTGGGTTTCTTGTCGGTAATCAAAGGCCTTTATTGCTTACAACTAATTGTATAGTCCATATTTTGTTTATGTCAGGAGAGATAGAAAGAGAGAGAGAGTGAAAGGGATAACCCATCTCGTTCACACTAGTGGTCTAGTGCCCAACTCGGGGTCTATCATGTTCATCTCCACCATCCCAATAGTCTTCACTCCTTGTGTAGCCTTTAACGTTGCTGCTCACTTAGTTGTAGGAAAGAGATTCCACTACGACTTCCAAGCACATTATACGAGTCTTACAATCTCTATTAATTTGTACCCATGACTCAAGGGTAATATTGGGAGAGGTCTTAGAACGGGAGGGGGGAGGGGGCTCAGGGTACTAGGGTAATATTAAGTTTTAAAAAATTGTATTGGTCAGATGCGGTCACATGTGCATAGATTGTGATGGAGTATTAACGGATGTTAATGACAGGGGTAAGAGTTAGTCAAGTGTCAGAAACAGTAAAGATAGTGTTAGTCAATTTTCAACAGTAAGGGTACACTTAGTCAATTAACTAAACCATAAGAGTAGTTTAAGAAATTTATCCTATTTTTTTATTAAAAGAGAATGTTCCAAGTGAGATTCACCTATTATTTTTCTCTTAATGAAAGAAGTTAGGGTCCACCTTATTTTTCTTTGAAAAGAGAAACGCTCAAGTGAGACTCATTTATATATTATATTTAATATTTATTAATTATATATTAAATAGTTTTATTTTATTCAATGAAACCCATTTGCAATTTTTTAGTTTCTTGAATTTAATAGTGCCGCATCAACATTTTTTATTATTTTATTTATTGTTTGACAGATTGTGCCGCAAAATACAAAGTTGTTAGAGACAGAAATCCCATAATATCATATAATATATTTATATATATATATATATATTTTATTAAATATAAACATTATCGCGCTAAGCTAAGGCTTGGACTTCGGTGTGGGTTTATTTGGAAAAGACCAAACCTGACGTCCTGACCCGAAAAATAATCAGGCCCGGTATTTAGAAAACGAGCCCGAGAAGAAGGGCCCGCGGGTTACCCGGCCCATGAATAGATCTATTATGGTGATTAACCATTTAGTCGGTTCAGTGAAAGATCACCAACAGAAAAAAAAAGAAAACAGTTTGGTCGGTTCATTTTCGACCATCTCTCATTTTCCACTGTTTTTATTAAAGTGCAGTAGATGTTTCTCCACCGTCCAAATGCATTCATTAAATTTCTCATCTGCAATCATCAAATCAAATTGAATTTGAACTTAGCCATAGGTCCCAATCCCTTGCCACGTGTATTAAATTCACTATATGAGATTGAATGGCAAATTACTCTCTCAGTCGAACACATTCTACAACTGAGGCCAAGTGCCAAATATTCAAGCTGAAAAACTGCTCTGAAAAAGGAATTACTCAGGGTATCTATACAGTCAAGCGAGCGTACATGTCTTTCTGCAACTTGTTACCTTCTTCATCCATACAGTCGGTCACATTCCTGGTACCAACTCTAGTGACCTCTCCTGCTGTCTATGTAACCATCCCCTAGCTTAATGTTTACACTGGACAAAAAGAGGATGGTAAAACTTAAACTTTCACCTTCAACTTGCTTAAGGGTATACTTATCTATGGCACAACAATATGATGATGGTAAGATGGTTAGAGTTCTCACTCCATAAACTTCTATCAAGAATTACATAGCTATGTACAAAATATGTTATTAAATTTAACATAAAATACAATTTAAAGTGAGAAAAACCTAAGTTACCAACAAACTTCAAATCTAACTAAACTTTTGTATAACTTGGTCCTTAGCATCTAATAGCTGCTTCACCACATCTCTCATTGTTGGTCTCTCACTTGGATGATCTGCTGTGCATCTTAATGCCACCAATAGTACATTGATAACTTCTTTTATGGCAATAGAGCCCATGAATTCTTCGATAAGGTTTGGATCTGCAATCCTGGTAATGGCTTGAGTTTTGCTCCATACTGAACGTGCCCAGTGAACTATGTCCATGTCCTGTTGAAATGAAGGATCCAAAGCTTTCTTTCTGATAATCAGTTCAAGCAGAACCACCCCATAGCTGTACACATCTGATTCCTTGCTCTTCACTACCTTAAATGCAGTCTCTGTCACAGTCACAGTGAGTTAACATGTTACAAGTAAATTTCTGGATGAAAGAGCTATGAAGAAATTGAAACTATGGACTGACAATGGAAACAAACAAAAATGAAAACATAGAAGTTCATTTATACCAGGTGCTATATATCCAATGGTGCCTGCAACTGTGATGGACTGAGTTGAGGTAGAAGATTTATCCATGAGATTGGCAATGCCAAAATCAGAGATGTGAGGCTCCATGTCAGTGTCCAAAACTATGTTATTTGGTTTGATATCTCGATGAACAATTGCAGGATTGCAGTCATAATGCAGATATGCTAACCCATGGGCGGTTCCTAGTGCTATCCTGTAACGCACTTCCCACTTGAGGACCGGAACTGGCTTGATCTCATGTAGAACATCATAGAGGCTTCCATTCTCCAAGTAATTATACAAGATGAGTCCSTGGTCCTCCATCAACCAGTAGGCTTCGAACCTTACCAGATTTCGGTGCCTGATCTTTCCAATAGTTTCAATTTCTCTAACCATACTTTTTATGGTTTTTCCTTTATGATGCGAAAATGTAAGCTTCTTTACAGCATAAATTCTCTCTGGACCCAAGTCTGCCTTGTAAACAATTCCATGGGCTCCTCTCCCAATGATAAATCTGCTGTTTAGATTATCAGTAGCCTCCATAACTTCACTCAGTAAGGAAGATGAACCTTCATGAACAGAGGTTTCAAATTTAAGTTTTTCTCTTCTCAACTTGAAACACATGTAACAGAACAAGAGAAGCACTAGAATACAGAACAATGATGACCCAAAAGCTATCATCACAACCTTTATTCTGGTGAGGTGTTTCTGATCATGCAATTCATGATTGCACGGGCTGAGATTGCTGTTTACAATGCAACTTGAGCCATCTCCAATAAGACAAGGAACACAGAGGCCCGGATTTCCCAAGAATGAAGAAGGTGAGGAGTTTAGAAACTTAATCAATCTGTCCGGTAGTGGACCACTGAAGTGATTATATGAAACATTCAACTCAACTAATGAATTTAGGGTACCAAGCTCTGCTAAACTTCCTGTCAGATTGTTCCAAGATAAATCCAAACTTGGCAGATAACTCAACTTTCCCATCCCTGATGGAATTTTTCCTGTCAGTCTATTACCACTGAGATTCAAAGCAAAGTTTAAGTTCTGCAATAATCCAAGGGATGGAGGAATTTCACCCTCAAGAAAGTTTCCTCCAAGTTGTAGCTCTGAAAGCTTTTCAAGTGCTGAAAAGAAATCAAGAATCCCCCCACTGAACATATTCTCTCTCAAAATCAAATTGGATAATTCTGTCAAGTTCCTCAGAGACAACTGAATGGAACCATTTAATGAGTTGAAACCCAGATCCAATTTCAATAATTTGTTACAGTTTGAGATTTGTGGAGGTAGCAGACCTATCAAATGGTTATGAGACAAATTTAAAAGCTGTAAGTTCACAAGGTTTCCTATTTCTTGAGGAATGGGTCCTGTAAGGTTGTTCATGGACAAATTTATTGTCGCAAGATTGGTACAATTCCCCAAGCTTGAAGCAATTGTCCCATTTATGTTATTTCCTCTAATGTCCATGAATAGAAGGTTTGGGTTTTTCATAAAATTGGGAAGGGGACCTGTGAGACGGTTGTTCTTAAGAATCAATCTTTTCAAGGTTGGACAGCTTCCAACATCTGAGGGAATGCTACCTTGAAGTAGATTCAGACCCATATTCAAAATTCTCAATTGTTTTCCAAAGCAAAGACTTGGAGGGATTTCACCAGAGAATGAATTGTTAGTTAAATCCAATTGCACCAAACTACTCTTAATCCCCAAGCCCAGGGGTATGGCTCCAGAAAAATGGTTGCTATACAACGAAATGTTTTCCAGACGGTGGAGCTCAGTAATCTCTAAAGGTAATTCCCCAGACAAATTGTTCTGATAGACCAGGAGATACTTAAGGGTTGGAATCTTCCAAATGCTAATTGGAATCTCTCCGGTCAATCTGTTTGTAAACAACTCAAGGTCCTCTAAATTACTCAAAGATCCCAACTCACTTGGAATTTTGCCTTCAAGTTGGTTTGTATGCAAGAGTAATTCCTTCAAGGAACTACAGGTTCCAATCTCTGGTGGGATTACCCCTGACAAAGAGTTCTCATTGAGGTAAAGTTGCTCCAGCTGAGTTAGTAACCCAAAGGAAGCAGGGATCTGACCTGTTAATTTATTACCCAGGGCAGCCAAGGTTGTTAAGCCACTGCAGTTGCCCAAGCCTGATGGTATTTCTCCATCAAATTGATTGTAAGTAAGGACCAATTCCTGCAAATTCTTGCAACTACCAGAACCCCCCAACTTTATCCTGCCCTCAAGTCTGTTCGAACTGACATACAAGTAAGCAAGGAACTGAAGATTGTTTAGGCTCTCAGGCAAAACTCCAACTAACTGGTTGTCAGTAAGATAGAGTTCTTCCAATTTAGTACAATTCCCAATAGATTCTGGTATCATCCCTGATAATTGATTACTATAGAGCCACAGAGAAACAAGATCAGTCATGTTTCCTACATTCGACGGGATAGACCCGGTGAACCTATTAGCGTAGAGATAAACAGTGTCCAGACGTGGAATCTGGAACAAAGACTCTGGTATCTCCCCACTCAGGGAATTATCAAACAGAGATAAAAATCTGAGCCCCCTCAAGTTTGCTAATTTTCCAAGCACATCACCGGTGAAACCATTCATCGATAGATCCAAGTATTCAAGCAGACTACAGTTGGACAAGTCTACCGGGATCAAACCCGAGAAATTGTTGTCACTAAGGTCAAGCCTCTTGAGGGATCTCAACTGGCCAATCTCCTGTCTCAATGAACCGGAGATTCCCAGACCCGACATGTTCAGGGAGATCACATTCTTTTTCAGGCCATCACATTGAATTCCATGCCAGTTACAAGGAGTGGAATCGTTTGAGTTCCAGCTCGACTTGATAGAGGGAGGTACAGACAGATCTTCCAGTAGTGAAAGCAGAGCTTCTCCATCAGAGCTCAACCCAGCAGCAGTATGGAGCAAAGCAAAGTAGAAGCACAAGCACAAGTACAGGAAGTCTCTAAAAACGCTACCCATTACAGTTACACTACACCAGAACAAATCAAAAGACTAGATTTGGAGTATGGCTATGCTCACCTTCACCTAAGAACAAGAACTCTTGCACGAGAACAAAAAACTCTGTTTCTCTTGCCTTTTGCTTTCCACCGGAAGAACGAACCCGTGATTCATTCAGCACACTGAAACAGACCTTAAATACTTCACAGGATCATACTCCACCTCAGAATTCATCCCGCCTGTACGGTGGGGCTAAGATTTGTTGGGGTGGACTGAAGTCTGAACAATAAAAACCCCTTTTAAAATTCTGATAAACGGTTAATGTCGCGTTGAAGACGAAAGTCAATTCTAACTAAACCCAAGTTATTTTTGCCATTTAAAATTCTGACATCAGACCTGCTTGCTGACATCTTTCAGTCGACCTGCAATTCCAATTAATTAGAGTTTAATTTCTGCTCTCGCCATGGAGACTGATCTTTTCATGGAAAAACTTTGGCTGTCGATAAGGATGTGAGGGAAGTCACTTTTAAGTCATTTCGAAGGATCCACGCATGGTCATTCCGGGGTTCAATTCGGGCGGGTTGACTCGGGCTAAGGTTCAACCCAGGCCCATCTACAAGTGCAAATCTCGGGCTTTGGTTACGGCGAGTTCAAAAAGATTTTTTTTTTTTTTTTTGGCTTCAGACGAGTTCAAAAATATGAATATAGTTTTATATGGTCATCTTTTATTGGGTTAAGGGCTTAAGGCGGTCATCTTTGATTAAAAAATATGTACAAATTTTGTTTATAAAAATATATATCTATTTATTTGTATGGCTCGGATTGGGTCAAATCTGAACTGGACTGGGCTGAGTTAGAGCCCTTAACGCAACCCGAAAACACAGGTCCGATCCATGCAAAATCTCAGCTTGGATTGGATAGGGACTGCCCAAAGTTGCTGCTTGGTCACTGCATCTCCACTCACTTCGTCTGATATGAAAAACTGACAAAGTAACGGTCCGGAAGTAACATAGGAGAAATAGACCATAGTGTCACGGGGGTAGTTCTACAGCGGAAGAAACCCGTGCGGCGTCCTGGCCAAGGCAGGCCAGGACAAGCCTTTCTGCGCTTAGAGGCTAGGA